ATGCTGACTCTGTAAACCACTTAGAGAGGGATGAAAGCCCTATGAAGCGGTATATAAGTCTAACTGCTATTGCTATTTTCCCCAAGAAGTTAAAGTAGATTTGCATGTAAAAGGTGATTTTCAGAATCATTTTTATCCAGCTCAGCAACAAATAATATTCATACCTCAGCATCATCTGCTTCGTACCCATCATTGCCATCCACACTGCCAGTGCTTTCATTGCTATCTTCACCTTCATCTCCCATTCCTGTGTCTTCATCATCCTCATCCTCGTCCTCATCCTCATCTTCTTCATATTCCTAAAAAAAAAAAAAAAAATGTTTTCTCTTAAGTATACCGAACACCATGCACAATGCGCTGAAGTAATGGGCTTTGGGAACTAAAAGGGATCTTTCTTTGAGAATTAAAAGCGGCGATATTTCAAATAATAAAAGTGTTATATTGTCACAAAAGGCAGAAAGGGTCATAAAAGTGAAACTATAACTGCGTTCTCGGATGAATGTCTGAAATTATTCCTAGCAGCGGCAGTTGGAAACACAACCTTCAATTCAGAATTTCCGTAACTTTTAGAAATAAAACAGTGATGCATTTTTACATTAGTAAAAATATCAAAGTCTGATGAATTAGTTGGCTTTAAAGATATGTAATGATATGTAAAGATATTTAAAGATACGTAATGGTTGCTCCTAGAGTCCCTGCAAAAAGTCACAACCAAGACAATAAGACTCAATGAGAGAGAATACGTAGAAACTGAGGAGCTATCATAGGAATTTGGGGGGGGGGTGTTAAATAATTGCTTCTTCACTCACAGGTCCGCACTAAATAAGAAAATAAACGTAGTACAAATTACTTCTGCTTCTCCATCATTTTCCTCATCTTCATCCTCTTCATCATCACTGTCAATGACAATGACATCATCTCTCTTGCCCTGACACTCTTGGGATGAGGCTGTATTCTGCTGATCTGATTGAAGAGGTCCAAGGTCTATAGGGAGGGACTGAGAAGTTTCCTCACTATCCTCCATGGGCGTATACTCGCCCTGCGTGACACCCTTCCAATAAAGAGGAAGACAATAGCGATCAGGGAAATTAAAACAAAATACTATTAACAACCATCCTCACACCTTTTTTCTTCTTCTTCTCTTTCACAAATGAACACAAATGAAAGAAAGGCTCTTCGTGGGGCTAAAACCTTCACTAGCTCAGTTTTAAAGGCTGTAGCAAATAGGAAACTGGGGTTTGATCTGCTCCAAGGAAGAAGCCACGCTTCGATTTTGAGCAACGCACTAGTAATAACTGGGCTCTGCATTACAAACTTTGCCCCTTTTGAATACGTGACATCACCGTGCAGGAAGAAAAGGGGTGGGGCTTCCACTGCAACACTGCTGACATCACTTGACTGGTACGGTTGGAACGGGGCCGGCGGCGTCCTCGTGCACGTGCGCAGTTCACGCATGCGTCTTAGCGCCTGCGCGATGCTCCAGCTGCTTGCGGAGAATCAC